TCAAACTTAGAGCGATCCTCCATACTTTCTTCAACTGGAATCAATATCGAGTAGAGACAATAGCTATAAATAACTAAACTGATGCCGATAAGGACTCCTTCAGTGTCCCAGAAAACCACGTCTTCAAATTTTACATCTAAGGGGTAGCTTACTGTGTACCATACCAACACTCCAGCCATGGTCACCAAGGAGGCTATACCCATTAAGCTCTGCCACGCCACACATGTCAAATCCTTCAGAAACGTTGAGGGTAGAACTACAAGAGCAATGATCGAGGCCCACGTTGCTTCTGATAATCCTGCCACAGGGAGTGCGTGATTCAAGAGTGTTCCGCTTGAAATAAGATATGATACTGCCAAGATGGACAGATCAAAATTTTGGAAAGTATCGGCTAAGATGCCACCGTAACGGGGCAAAAGAGCTTTGCCAAGATCGCTGTAAACGCTGCGAACTCTTTTCTTGATATCTCCTCCTGGCTGACCTTTGCAATCCGTTTCGGATTCTTTGGACTCTGCGGTTTCTTTGGACCCTGTTGTTTCTTCGTTCTCATCTTCGTACAGGCATTCGATCATGACCTTGCCTGTGTACCAATGAATTATGGCAAATAACGGAAAAGCGATTTAAGTGGCAATACCTCCTTTCATGACGGCGTACGGCAAAGCAGGAGTTCCTACTCCGGAAACAAAACTAGTTATATTCACAACAGCTTTCCACGTTGAACCTCTACTGCTCGTTGAAACTGATTTATTATGATTCCTTTCATTTCCTGAGTGCTAGTGTCGTGCCCTCTTTCACTCTCATCGAAGGACTTAAGAATTTCATATTTTTTTTTACCCATGTTGTTAGCTATGAACCTATCGTTTGTTGGCGTCTTCAAATTTCCATAATTTGACATCAACCGTTCCTAATTTATGCGCGTCGGTGTTTTAATAATAGGGAGCTTAAGCAACCACGACAAAAGGGACGACAACGTCTGAAATCTTTTTCATTCTCGCTTCGTCAGTTTAAGAAATGACATCGTTCATAGACGTCCAAAACCTTCTTGTTCTCACTCATGGATCAAATTTNGAGTCGAATTTTTAGGCATAAATGAATGAAAAATAAGTTTTGTCAGAGAGAAAAAAGATCACTTTTGCTTCCTTGAAAAAGCGCAACAAACTAATGAAAGCTCTTAGGTCAATCAACAAACGGTGCGCAAAAAAGCTTTATCACTACATGACATGGTACCAAGAATTCCAACATTGACTATTTAGCAAATGGTAAACAACACAGCGTACACTATTGAGTTATGGATGCACGCGGGAGGTACGTTCCTAAGCACGAAAGAAGCGTAAGAGTCGCGCGAGGCGGTAGCTGAGAATGACTCTAGCTTCTTGAGTACTTAGCAAACCTCCCAAGTGCATCCATAACTCAATAGTGTACGCTGTTGTATTTTACCATTTGTTTTATAACATAACATTGATACATTGCAGCAAAAGAGTTCCCTTTTATTTAACAAATCTTACGTGACCAGAAAAAAAACAAGCGCGCGCGGAAAAATGGTCTTCGCATTTGTTCACGTCAGCAGCGTACACCCATAGGCAAATGGTGGACGCTGAATTGACCAATCAGAGCGCACGCTTTGCTTTGGTTATGTTATAAGGAAAACTTGGTGAAGGAAAGGAACGACGTTTCCACCTCTCCGCGGTCATTTGCAAGTTTTAATAAAAAAGGGAAAAAAGTATTGAAATAAAATAGTCTTAAAAACGGATGAGAATGTTGCATGCATTAAGATATGTTGAACATACCGCTAGTTACAAACAATGTAAATATTTGATTATAACAGAATACTAAAGACAAAAACTAAAAAATAAGAACTTCACGCTTAAACAATGTTTCAAGAAATAACTTCTCACGGATTGAGTCCCACTGTTTGTTGGCTTTTGGTTTTAGCTTTTTAATAAAAGCATTTCAAAAATAGGACAATTATGTTTTTTCTAGTACTTTCTTAGAATGTTATCTAATTCCACGTCAAGCTCGGTTATGAGATGGTCTATAATCGCCCATCCTTTGTCTTGTGTTATGCGTTGTTATAAGTGTTGGAATATTTATCCGACGCAACTTGCATCACACAGGTCACCCTTCAAAAAATAAACAACACATTGTTGGATCACAATGCAATGGACGGCCTATCTTCCTTCATTCCGATTTCGTCCTTGATCTTTCGATATGTATACACTGGGCTGATGTCAGAATTTATCTTGCGACAGAGATCTGCAACTTGTCGTCGCACAGAGTTTTCCGACTTGCGGTCCTTGAATGATCAAATGATCCTGCTGTGAACTGAAGTATTCGCGAATGTATGGGCACTATCACTTGAAAGTATATTGATTCATATCTGTTATCAACGCTCTAACAGAGAAAAAAAGCATTTTAAGGTCAATAATCCTAAAATCAAAACTGTTCCGTTCAAACCTATCCGCAGAAACGATAACCTGAGCCATTTTAATTTTGACATGTACTAAACGAGGTACCATGTACTTGAAGAAGAGCAAAACTAGACTCCATACCAACGCAGTTAGAAGTGAGGAATTAGCTCTGCTACCAAAAGTGTGAGAAACACTGCCAAAAATCTTGTTCCAGCGATCCAGAGGAAAGAAGGAATAAAACTGGCAACTGCACCCATGAGCTTGGAATCATCTAAGGATTGGAGAGCAGGATAGACCGACTTGTGCATGACTGAATACAACATAGGGGGTAAAGACAACACTGACAATCGAGCGAAGGGCACCAAGCGGGAAATTGTTTCCGATCAATTCATCAGTACTTCGAGAAAAGGAGAGAAAACCATGCACACAGATGGCGACCAATACTTTGAAAGCGGAAGTGAAATCCCCAGAGCTGGTTCAAACTTAGAGCGATTTTCCATATTTCCATCATGAGCTGGAGTTAATATCGGATAGGGACATTAAGCATAAATTATCAAACTGATCCCGACAAGGACTCCTTCAGTGTCCCAGGAAAACACGTCTTGAAAGTGTACATCCAAAGGGTGGGTTCTCGTGTTCCATATTACCCAACAAGCTTTCCCACGCCCAAAGATACCAAGTCTTTTAAAAACGTTGAGGCTATAAGCTATAATTTAGGCCCACGTTGCTTCTGATAATCCCGCATCAGGAAAGGCATGTGCCAAGATTGTCCTGCTTGAAATAAAGCATGACATTGCCAAGAGGGACAGGTCAAGATTTTGGAGAGCTTCGAGTAGAATGCCACCATAACGACACCAAAGAACTTTGTTAAGATCACCATAAACATTGCGAACTCTATTTTTGACATTTCCTGGCGGCCGATCTTTGCAACCAGCCTTAGTTTCCTTAGACTCTGTAACTTCTCAGTCATTCTGATCTGCATAAAGGCATTCGATCACGACCTTACCTGTGTACCAACGAAGTATTGCAAGCAATAGAAAAACGACTAAAGTGGTGAACCCTCCTTTCATTACAGCGTATGGTAAGGCAAGAGTCGATACTCCTGAAATAAAACTGGTCATATTAACAATAGCTTTCCACATTGAGCCTCTACTACCCGTTGAAACTGGTTCATCATTATTTATTTCTATTTCAGAGTCACCAGTGTCGTGCCCTCTTCTGTTCTCATCGTGTGAGTTAAGAATTTCGGAATTGTGAGGAACTTTGCCTGGAAAAAAGCCCATACTGTCGGCTATGAAATAGTGGGCTGTCAGTCCACTTGTCAGATATGCTGGATAAACGAACTGATTGATGATTCCACGTGCAAATGTCCGTGATTTGGAGGCAATATCTCTAATTTATGCTAATGTAGAAAAACAATGATCCAAAGAAGGGAGTCACCCGATTTGCCTTTAATCTACCGCTTAGAAGCGAATCTAATAATTCTCAAATTACCGCATACATGCTGATAAAGTAGGCCCTATTTACCTACCGAGATTAGATTACCGAGAACAAAACAAAGGCCAAAACAAAACAAAACAAAGGAAAAAAAAGGTGCTGGATTTGTNGCTAAGCTACAAATCCAGCACCTTTTTTTTCCTTTGTTTTGTTTTCCTTTGTTTTGTTTTGTTTTGGCCTTTGTTTTGTTCTCGGTAATCTAATCTCGGTAGGTAAATAGGGCCTACTTTATCAGCATGTATGCGGTAATTTAAGAATAATTAGATTCGCTTACAAGCGGTAGATTAAAGGCGAATCGGGTGAGGGAGTAAGTCAGTAAAAGACTAGGTTGGGAATAGGAAATATTTCCCTGATTTTCATATCTTAGAAAACTCATGTAGTATGATGAACAAACAAGCGAGTGAGTTTTTTTTCAGAGAGATGATTCTTAATCTTTTATATTGTAGTCAAGCGCCAATTCTTAGCAAACACATGAAAAAGCGCGGCAAACAAAACAAAGCTCACGAGAAATGAAAAAACGATGCGAGCAACGACTGAATCAATGGATTTTCTATGGTAACAGAAATTCTAGTAATAATTATGGAAACTGAAGACAAACAGTGGTATGCGAAATGAGCGAACAAGTTACGATTCGATAGTTGATAAATTTTGGCGCGGACACGCTTCGATAGTTAACAAATTTTGGCGCGAACCTAAGGCAATATTTCGAGTTATTTTCGATAACAGTTTAATGAATTTTTTGTTCGTTGACCTTGAGCCTGGTTTTCCTTTCACCAAGAACTTGCGTCTTTGAGGGACTTGGTGAACAAAGAAAGAGACGAATGGAGAGATTAATAAAATCTGTAAAATCTGAAGATGTTTTGAGGGACAAGCGTTTTTTTACCGCAAATCGATAAACAAATGTGCAAGGCGAGGGTCAAAAAAACCTATTGTCCACGAAACCAAATGAAATCCCTAAGGAATTTACAGAGTCAATCAAGGAAGAGACGGTAGACTGCGTCCCCATTTTTCAGATAATTTTGAACAAAATTCGACCCGTTAAAAACAAAAGTAACATTTAAAGCGCACGTATTGCAAGGAAAAATCCACGAGGACTAAAACTAACAAAACAAATTTTAATGATAAGAATGATAAATACTACAATAATTAGAAAGAGTTATAATGTAGCGTGAACTCCTCACTCCAGCCAATAAGAGGCTTTCCTTGATCGGCACAGGGGTCCTTTGTGGTACTATGATTATCGCGCGTGTCACGCAGGGTTTTACGTGACTCTCTACAGATACAACTGCTTCATTTAGGCATGCCATCACAGTGCTCTGCGGTTGTCTAGTTGAGTACGTATTAGTCTTGCCATGTTAGGTTAAGGCTTCGTGAAATAAAACCATATATGTCGGAATATTCCTCAATCTAAAAGAAAAAAAATGCATTAGTTGAAAGGGGACTGAGGAGATTGCGACTGGGCATCAAATGTCCTTTCAGGATGACTTTGAAAAGGAAGAGAGTGAGTCTCATTGAAAAAGCCTGAAAAGGTTCTGCTTCGTGCGCATACACGGATGCGAAGCCTCTTCGGTACCGACGCAGACACCACGTTACGTCACGCTAACCTTCCCACTGTTTGTTATGAAAGGCTTTACGGCAAATAAGCACCCGTGGGCAATATGATGCGAATCCTGTGCTCTGATTGGCTCTGACAGGCAATCCTGTGCTTGGATTGATCTCGCGCAAGAAAAAGAAAAAGAACTCTCGCAAGAAAAAGAAAAAGAATTCGCGCAAGAAAAAGAATTCGTGGAGCAGAACTATAAAGTTTGTAACTTTTGGACAATGTCGGCATGGAGTCGTTCATAGCCCTTTCTGAGACGACTGACCCATTTCCTCTTAACTTATGCATATACACCGTTCCCGCTACTGCAACTGAACTAGTACGGGTTACAACTTAATTTATTGGTCAGTCCACCTACTAAATAAGCTGCTGAAGCAACAGAGATCAATGTGCCAACTTACAATTTTGGCTGTCGGTTTTCCGAAACCATGGCCAGCTTTTGTATCAATTCTGATCAGCAAAGGATTCGTCTGCAAGGAAGCGATAAATATTTTTTCTGCATAAGTATTGTGCGGTCATTCGCTTCATGTACACTGTTATGCTGTTTAATAGGTCATTTCCGAATTACGTTTGGCCTCTTTCAAAACGAAGCCTGGTGCTCAACCATACGTATGAAAATGAGTTTAATTTGCATGTGAATGAAAACTTATTACCATACGAAAGGATGAGCACCAGGACTCGCTTTGAAAAAGAGGCTATTACTTGCAATTCGGAAATTTGCGTTTTTGAGGTGTCATTTTCAGATGACGAATCTTACCTGCTTCTCGTAACTACCAACACATTGTTGCAACTGTGCGATGTACTTTAGAGAATGCAAGGGCACTACGCGATCATCATGGTCAGCGGTCAGCAACAGAAGTGAAGGGTATTGGACACCATTTTCGGGAATCTTAATGTTATGAAGAGGAGAATATCTGAGAAGAATAAAATAAAAGATAACAAGACTTCGTCGAGGTCCATAAAAATGCGAAAGGGGGCGAGACCATAGTAGTCGAAGATGCGTGGTCAATAAGGATTTATCATAATGCAGTGCAATGCAGAATTGATGGAAAATAGACTCACAACACCCGTTCTTTCCTTGGTTTTGATAGTCTTTAAGACTCCCTAAAGCTGTAATTTGCAATTCATGGCTGTAAAAGTGACCTTGGCTGTGAATCGGATCAGATCTTTTATTTCATTTTATCGGAGCTGACCGGCCAAAAATAATCAGCCAAATTTTAACGTAAGATACTGAGAAGTACTTCTTTTCGGTTTGCGTCATTTTGCGCTAGATTTTAAACTTTCTAAAACAAAAATGTTTGTCTTAATGTAAATGGTGAATCACTTTTTTTAGTTCGCAAGAACTGGAGTACGGTTTGGTACTAGACACATAATACACAGCAATAAAGAATATGAAGGCGAGGTACAGCCACTTACGTGACAAAATTGACCAATCAGAACTTGACTGTCGAAACATCAGTTACTATAACCAACTATGGCCCTTTTCATGGGTCACAGATTATCATACCATATAACCATACTGCGCATGACTGAGTCGCGCACTCCCTTTTGGATTAACTACTCAGGTTGTTGTTAAAGTGCTGTCCAATCGAGATTGAGGAAAACATATTTTTGTAGGCGGGGGGGAGGGGGGGGGGCAAGGAAGTTGGCAACCTGGGGCGATTAAGTTTTATGGAAAATTATTATATGGCTGTGTCTCACAAGGACTGGGAACAACCGAGTTCACGAATTTGATTGGCTGAAGTCAATATTGAAAGCGGTCCAGATTTCCCCATCTTGACCGGCATCTAGGCCAGTCTAGAAAAAAAGGGTACAAAGAATATAAAAAAAATTGGCATATAAGACACAGCCATATAATAAACATCTTATTAACAGAGCTAGGTCGGTCTGTATGGGGGAATCTTTACCTCGGTCGCAGGTACAGACCTCACTGCATTCGGTCTGTACTGGCGACCTAGGTCACGATTCTCCCATACAGACCTCCCGCTCGGTTAATAAGGACTAGAAGGAGCTTGAACACCACCAAGAACAATTGTGGAAAATACTCAGCACTGGAAAACAAGTGCAGTATTCTTTATAACTCACTTGATAAGCCATTGAAAATCCTCCTCCTTATCAGGTGAACCATAGTCTGTCGTCCTTCAAGAGAGATAATAAAAAAAAGAAAAGAAAAAAAAGAAAAAACAAATACAAAAACAACAACAGGAACGTCAACAACAAAAAGGTAGGAAAACAATTTTTTTTAAGAAAGCTTTCAAAGGTTGCTGCTTTATGAGCCCGATCATATACTAGAGAACATAAATCCTACAGAAAAATTTCAAAACGGAAAAGAAAAAAACAAACAAAATAAAACAATATAAGTGATTAAGTCATATTACCACTTACCATGCATGGCCGATGGTAAATTTATGAAACTTGAGCATGTCCATAACTCTGTGACAAGAGATGAAAGGATTTAAATTGGTTCGTGCTCAAATTATGAGACAAATCCATAAGGAATTCTGATGACTTACGGTACTTGTGAAACAGCACAACCAAACAAGTCTGGTCTCTGATTTATACAAGCACCCACCAACAGGCCACCATTGGATCCACCACAGATGGTTATTCTATCAAAGAATAAACAAATGAAAAAACAAATGAGTTCATAAATAGATATATAAAAAGAAGAAAAAAAGAACAAATATAAAATAAAACAAACAGAACAAAACATAATAAACAACAAAAGAAAAAGAAAAAACAAAACTTCATTATGCATTTGACAAAAACCAATGTTTTTGTTTTTGTTTTTGTTGCTAAATGCCCAGAGAATTGAACATACTTTTCTGGAGATGTGTATTTCTGCTGGGAGAGGTAGATGGCGGCGTATTGGAAGTCGTCAAAAACATTCTGTTTGTTGCCAAAGCAGCCCGCTTGGTGCCAAGTCTCACCATATTCACTATCATAAAAAAAAAAAGGGTCAATAATAATCTTAATTTGATGAACATGTAGTCAATAAACTTTTAACTTACCCTTCACCCCTAAGGATGGATAAAGCAATGTACCTATAACTAAGCAATGTACCTATAACTTTCGCCACGCCCCCCCCCTGCTAACCTTATATATGGCGAGGTACAAAACCAACCTTCTATCCCTGAGGATGATGAGTATAGCACTGTACATGATTTACATTCAACCCTTCAAGTTTGGTATGGCAACGAAATTATATTAACCCAATCCCTCATCTTGGGTATGGAAATGTACATGTAACTTACCCTCCACCCCTTAGGTTAGGTATGTCAATGCACACATAACTCAACCTCCACCCCCTGGGTATGGCAATGAACATAAAACTCGCCCTCCACCCCTGAGGTTGGGGATGATGATGTACATGTAACTTACCCTCCACCTCTCAGGTTGGGTATGGCAATGATGCCTCCGAGATGTCTCATAAATACAATCCGTGACACACTGAAGGATGGCGTGATTGATATGTTAAACCCTCCATAACCATACAAGTACAGAGGATGGCTTCCGTCTAACTCGATACCCTGAGATTTTACGTAATTAAAAGAAATAAGATAATCAACCATTACTTCATGAGCGTACGTTGGATATGAGATGGTCAATAGCGAACGAATAGGCCATTTTACAGTTGTGTACTTAGTTACCCAGCCTTTGATTCAGAGTGAGGCTAAAGATGACCTAGTTGTGATAGAGACCTGTATCTACTTAGCACGATGACAAAGTGATTTACATTTGAAAGGTAGCAAGGTTTGTATCATAACAAGGTCATCTCTAACCTCACTCCCATTCAAAGGCTTGGCAACCAAGCACACAACTGTAAAATGGACTATTGCTTAGGGCCGAGTTGGCTATAACCATCCTCGTAAAATAAAAAAATATTTATTAATATTGTGCTCACCTTCTTATGGACAATGAACATTGGGATCTTGGTTCCATCTTTACTGGGATAAAACACTTGGACAGTCTGGTACTGACTCGAGTCAAAGCCTTTCACGTTTGTTTCACGAAAAACCTGCCAAGAAAATAGACTGTTTCAAAACATGTTAAGAGCTTTTCCTAGATAAGGTCAAGAACATTTCAGAGGACCGTGACTGTATTGGGCTGATTTTCAAATGCAAACCTT